CTATGAGACCAAAAGAACTAGATGGTGCCCAGCTACCACTGTCAACCACTCAGGGGGCTCTATGTAGGAGATCCTGAACAGAGTGGGAGAGCAGTGTGGAAATGTGGAACAAAACTCAAAATAATTAAAAGTGGGGGGGACCAGGTTTGCTGGTCTGATAGAGACTGGTGGAACCCCTAAAACTATGGCCCCTAGCTGCCTTCAGGTCTGGAATTGGACCCACTCCTGTAGCTTCCAGCCAAACAAGACAGGCATATGAGCTGAACATTTACATTAGATAGATACACTCCTTGGAGAGATCAGTCATGGAAGAATAGAAGGGCTGTGTATGCACAGGGAGACAGCTCGGGGGCCAGGAATTTATGAGTGGGAAGGACACAGGAAAGAGGTAACTATGGGGAGGAAGTGGGAAGGAAGCTCCTGCATTGTGGGAAATTGCAGTCAATGTCATGAGATAAAGTGTACGTGAACTGCTGTATAGAAAATTTGCTCTGTAAACTTTCACCCAAATCACAATAAAAAAATATTTTTTTAAAAAAAGAGCAAATATAATTTCCTTTCACAAATACTAATTCATTTGTGTATCATAGCTTTGAAATGGGACATTATCATCTCCTGTTTCACAGATGAAGCAACAGGCTCAGAAGTTGTCAAAATTTGCACAGCTTGCAAAGAAGAATTTAAATTACTGTTCATGCTCCATATCTTTATACTACACAGTATCAGATGCAAAGAAGAGTAGAGGAGAAAAACACAAGGATAGACCCCTACCCTATCTTAGCTTTCTGTGAAGCTAAGATAGCATTTATTTGTTGTAGATACCGTGTGCCTTGGTGTATTTTAAAGTATCCTTCTGTACTCTCAGAGCCCTCCTCATCTAGAAATATCTCCTTCATAAAACTCACACAAATACCAATTCCAAAGACAAAGTTAGATAATTTGAGCTACAAAGTTTAAGGATAAGATTAGGGGAGAGTTAGAACAAGCACAACTTGCTTGTCCACTATGGTAAGACTGGGCTTGACTTTGTTTCAATCAGCTTTTAAGTAAGGGTTGGTGGAGGTGGGTGGATGATGTGATTTCTGTCTTCCCCTGCCCAGGTCAGAGAACCTCCATAGCTGGTGCTAAATTGCAGTCAGTGTTCACACCTTTTGTTGCATTTATTCAGGCATCTTATGGTAACTAACTTGTTGCAGGAGATCATAACGTGACTATAGCAACACTGAGTGTTACAGAGTAGAATTGTGCTCCCTAAGGTCTTCATAGCTATGAGTTTTCAGAAGATTGCTAGATCTGTCTTCATATGCACTTCAGGGTGGGTGGAAAACAATTTTTAGGTTATCAGCCCAGTGCTTAACCATTTGCACCAGCCAGGAAATTTCATCTTATGGTTGTTGTTGTCATTATGTGCCGTCAAGTCGGACCTGACTCATAGTGACCCCTCGGGTTTCCGAGGCAGTATCACTATGGAAGTAGATTGCCCAGCCTTCCTTCTGAGTGGCTGGTGGGTTTGAACTGCCAACCTTCTGGTTAGCAGTCAAGTGCTTCAAGCACTAATGTGAAAGTTGTTTGGGGTTTCCTATAGCCTGTTGTTGTTGTTGTTGTTTTTAAATGCCCTGCTTTTAGTGTAAGTTTGTCTACACTTAAGGGCAGCTCTGGCTCTGTGGAAACCAACTGTCAAACACAGTCACCACCCTTAAAATATCACTACTATTTACATCCACCACTAGTCTGTCAGTGTGTTGTACTATGGTGGCTTCTGTTGTGCTGTGAAGCTAAAGGCTATGCCACTGGTATTTTAACCAGTGGTGTGTGACCAGCAAGGTCACACACAGCAGACAGGTTTCAGCAGAGTGTCCAGACTCAAACAGACTGTGAAGGACAGGGCCATCCACTTATGAACAAAATTGGCTACTGAAAAACTCATGAATAGCAGTGAAATACCATCTGATATATTACTGGAAAATTTTATGAAGAGCCACGAAACACTACAGTCTGATACCATGCCGGAAGATGAGTCCCTCAGGTGGGAAGACACTCAAAATGACTTAAGAGAGACCTCCTTAGAGTCGACTTTAATGACACAGATGGAGTAAAGTTTTTGCGATCTTCGTTAGATGATGGGGCATGACTCAAAATAGGAAGAAGCACTGGCAAATATTAATAATCAGAACATGGAATGTACAGAGTATGAATCTAGGAAAATTGGAAGTTATCAAAAATGAAATGCAGTGCATAAAGAAAGGTATCTTAGGCATTAGTGAGCTGAAATGGACTGGTATTGGCTGTTTTGAATCTGACAATCATATGGTCTACTACTCCAGGAATGACCAATTGAAGAGGAATGGTGTCACATTCTTCATCAAAAAGAACATTTCACGATCTATCCTGAAGTGCAATGGTGTCAGTGATAGGATACTATCAATATGCCTACAAGGAAGACCAGTTAATCCTACTAGTATTCAAATTTACACACCATCCACCAAAGCAATGGATGAAGAAATTGAATATTTTTGCCAACTTCTGCAGTATGAAATTGACCAAATATGCAATCAAGATGTGTTGATAATTACTGGAATTGAAATGAGATAGTTGGAAACAAATAAGAGTATGGTGAATCAGAAACATTTTTAACTGTTTTTTTTTTTTTTTTCCCCAGAGTTTTTAGTTACAACACTTTGAAAATTCTCTATTGTTCTGTCAAGGTTTGTACCCGGCCCAAGTGGCCATTAATTTTATTTATATTTACTATTACATAGTCTCAATTTTCATTCTTTATTCCTTTGGAAGGATTCTCTCATATCCATCTTGGGTCAGGTGCTCATTCATGGCTGATCAACTTGGGTAGCAGACAGATTACATGGTACAAAATCAGTAGAGGAGGGTATCTGAACTTTATCCTTTAGAATGATGTTCAATTAACTAGCTTTCCTAAAGTGACACATAACTTTTAAGGGGAGGAGCTGAAATTTTCAATGTAGGTCTGTTGGACTTCTTATCTCATTTATAGAATCACATCCTTGGGAATATTTACCATGAAACAAACTTAGGTCAGAGTCATGATAGCTACTCTTAGATATCTAAAGGATTTAAACATGTAACTAGAAATGTTAGAATTAGGACCCTTGAGAGCCAGATTTTCCCTCTATTATGGGAAGAAAAAAATCCAAATCACTCTTAGGAAACTTGCTGACACATACATTCATCTTGTGTTCTCTTTCACTGGGGTTATTTTGATCTATGGAATATGAACCATATGGTATGGATATAGATATTATAAAGGTAAGAGTATATGCCAGCTTTAAGGTTATTTCAAAAGGCATATTTTGGGTTACTCAAAGTATGAAAAAATAAAGTGAAGAGTAGAAGTTATTCTGTTAAAAAAAAAAAAAAAAGGTAAATTTTTAGATAAACAGATTAATGGTAATTTTTCAGAAGGAAATACACCAATAAGCACACATTTAAGTCAAAAACCTCAATGCAAATCTTCATACAATGTACTCAAAGATAAAGTTCAAATTCATTCACTGTAGTTAAACTGCATTTCATATTTGTTGAAATTAATCATTAGACTATAATTATACAGATTTTTGAATTTATTGTATGCATATTATATACACAGGTAATAAAAATAAAAAACCCTTCTCTACAGAACATGAGAACAGTAAACAGAACAAACATAGGTGCTATTTCTATACATAGAATAAATGAACATAAATTATGTAAGATTAAGTATGTGATCTTCAACTATATTCACATTACAAACATAGTTTTAATACTATCTAACCTTTTACAATGATATCTAACCTAGTACAATGACTATTGCTCGCATGACACTGTAGAATTGGTAGATAAATGCCAAGTAAGTACTACTTCATGGCTTTATAAAACAATTTTATAGGCCATAAGTATGTGTGGGCAGAAGATAATTGTTTACCGTATGTAACTGTCCTGTTTACAGACTGATTTAACAGTAAAGTTTTGGTCTTTTTATCATGGGGGAAAAGTTTGTCTTATTTTAGAAGTGCTACCTAATTATGACATTTATTAAACAGTATATATTTCTTCCCTAACTCCACTCTGACACCCTATAAACTTTTATCAAATGAAGCTACAGAAATTATGATTTTAACATTTTAGATGGTCAAGGTACAAAAGGAATTAAAAAAGAAACTCAGGCTAGATTTAAGGTTTCTGATATCCACTAAATTTGACACCTTTTTCTTCTTACTACAAAGTATCTTCTCTTTGGGTTATTTGGTTAATTATTCTTCTTGATGACCAAGTTACAAATACAAAGAAGTTAAGAGATATGGTCACACACTCACTGGTATCAAAGAAAAAAGGCAGTGAAGAACCACAGGCAGTCCAAGGGTCATAGAGGGCAAGCAGTCTGGGTAACAAGAGTCTTGTGGAAAAAACAAGCTTTCTTATGTGTCTAAATATATGGAGGGAGGCTCTCTACACATTATATAGCTGTTGACTTTCATATCCATCCAGAATCAGCAAAGAAAGGCAAAATAAAACTAAGTATTCTGTTTAAAGGCAGGATGGTATATCATAAATTTTAAAAACGTTATCTATGCAAAACCATAAATTTTATCTAGAACACTTCATTTTCTAATGATGCAGCATTACTGAAGTTACACTTAATGACTTATAATGTGTCTGTAATTTTGAACTCCTTGAGGAAAGTGAAAAAGCTAACATTATGATTAAACTTTTGGATGCTCAAGGAACAACTAGTTGACACACTTTATATCTGTCTTCAAGAAAAACTTGGTCTCTATTAAGATTGACAGGTTTTGACGCATAAAATACAATTCCCACTATTACATGAAAATTAGTAAAGGAGCTCACTGCCATGAACACATACAATATTCAGGTCATTGGCCAACCCCAAACCTCAGAGAAATGCAAAGCCACAAAAAAAAAAAAAAAAAAGGAAAGAAAAAGAAAAAACTCCAGGAATAATAAAAACCCCATTCCTTATCACAGCTTTATTTCTCCTCTATTGTTTCAATTTCTGAGTACATCCGGCACAGTGCTGCATTAGGACGGCACACAAAAGCATCAGTTTCACTTTCCAATTCTGTTAACTGTTCTAATGAAGATACACAAGGATAATGGTCTTTTAACATATCTGGCAATTTAGAAGTTTTATCCTGAAGACGTCGGGAACGTCTCACTGGTGTTAGAAACTTGAGCTCTTTAAATAGAGAATTTGTTTCATCAAAATGAATCTTCTTTTTGGCACTGGACAAGAAAACAAAAAACAGACATAAAATTAATTCCAAAGTTTAAAAACATGTGTGAACACTTCTGCTCTGTACTTTTATGCTATTTATCGTTCTGTATTTTGTACATTACAACTATTTGATTGGTTGTCTATAGAGAGAGAGGTACTGCAAGATCTTGGGAAGTGAGGAACTTACTCTTTTCTCTACTTCTACACATTAGAAATCAAATTATCTGTAAAATTGGTTAATTGTTCAATTCAAACCTGCTGATATTGGCAACACAGTAAGAAGTTAAAGTAAAATGGTATGAAGTTTTATCAAAATGGCACTATTTACAGAAAAGCAAAGTAAATACAGTATTTAAAAGGTGAAACATCCCTATCGCATTCCATGTGTTTCAAAACCTTTCTATTATCAAAATACGACATTATTATCTAAGAGCATAAAAATAAGTCATAGCACATTACATTATAAAAGTTTACCTTTGCAAGTATGGTGTAGTAGATACATTATATTTAATCAAGCAACTCTCCCTGGTTTCTTTATCAGGAGTTTTAACATCATTGGCTGGATCTTGTGTCTTGTCTTCTTGCTCTTTTTCAGAATCCTGCAGTATCATACTTTTCTGATGTTTACTTTCCATTTTCGGTTTTCCTGGCTCTAGATTAACACCTGTTTCTTCAATGTTAACTTCTTGGATATGCTCCTTGGTTGCACAACCATCTGCCATATTTTCTCCTACACAAAATACATTTATAGATTAAGCTTTGGCCATATTTTAAGAATAAAATCAGAAGACATTTAAGTTAGTCAAAATTGACCAGATTTTCAAAACAAAATAACTGCCATCTCTTAACTATTATTACTTTTCCTAAGCAAACACTGCTGCCAACTACTCAATAATTAATTTACTGAGCATCTCCTATGTGTCAGGGATTGTGGATACAAACATAAGAATGAAATCATCCCAGTTCTTGAGAAGCTCACATTTGCTGAAGAGACACATTTGAAAATAATTAATTATGAATATGATAGTGCTATAGTTGAGGTAAGAACAAAGGGCTATGGAATCCTAAAAAGCAACAACCACTTTTCTTTGTGGGAAAAGGAGATAGCCAGGGAAGGCTTCACAAGTGTTATTTAGGCTGGGTATTGAAAAACAAGTACTTGACAAGGCCAGAGAGAATAAGCCTGGTATGAAGCATTAAAGGAAATGATATATTAAGACAAAATTACAGGGCTCCTGTGCTCAGAATACAGGGTAAGGTGCACGATGGGTTTGTGGGGAGGAGGTGGTAAGCTCAATAGGTAGGCTGGGGCTAGATTATAATGCATTTTATATGTAAGAAGTATGATCAGAAAAATCAGTGAAAAAAGAGAGATAAAATTAGGTATGATCATTGTTAAAGGAAGGTCTAGAATGGCAGCAAATGAAAACTAATGATTTGTGATGATAAGAAGACAAAACTATTGTAATAGCCTAAGCAATGTGGTAAAAGTGGAGATGGGAAGGAAAACCCAATTTGAGGGATGTATCTGAAATAGAACGGCCAGAATTTAATGAACAAATGACCATATATGTGTGTCTGAATGAATAAGCATGTATATTAGGGGCATACCTTACAAAATCTCTTGACTTTAATACCAGAACAGGGGTATTTCCTTTTCTGTTTTCCCAACCCCTGTTTGGAGGGAAGGGATAATGGAAAAGGAAATAGTGAGGAAAGATAAAGAATTCAAAATAAAGCATGTTAGGTTTGAAATAATTGTGGAACATTCTGGCAAATCCACTGAGCTGAAAGACCTCTGGATTTGATTATTAGGAAATTATTAGAGCTTTTACCAAGAGACATTTCAGTTGCATGATAACTGATTACTATTATTTTAATGAGCAGAAGCTGAAGTAGGGAGAGAGGGAATTCATTAATTCAACAAATATTCAAGTGCTTAATATATGACAGGCATTGCATTAGTACTGGGGATACCATGGTGAGGAAGATCAGACATTGTCCTGACCACTGAGTTTATAGTTCAAAAGGAAGAAAGACAAAGTGCACAAAAGAGGTGTGTCAAACTTAGTTGGGTTTATGGCAAGAGAGGTGAGTTATCAAGGAAGGTAACCCCAAAGAAGCGACATTTGAACTTAAGTTTAAAGAAGAAGTAGGAATTTTATTTTTATTATTTTTAATTTTTAATTTTTTTAGGAGCTCTGGTAGCATAGTGCCTAAGGCACTTGACTGCTAACCAGAAGGCTGGTGGTTCAAACAGTTGGGTTTATGGCAAGAGAGGTGGGTTATCAAGGAAGGTAACCCCAAAGAAGTGACATTTGAACTTAAGTTTAAAGAATAAGTAGGAGTTGGATTAAAAAAAGAGTAGAAGACTGGCTTGGTGAGAATGGAAGGTAAGAGGTAATATGGCCCCTTGTAGCAAATAAAAAATACAAAAATAATAACGTAATCTAGGGGTGTGAGAAAAAGAGAGAGTGAGAGAAGAGGCTGGACTCAGAATTTAAACAAACAAGTGACAGGGCTTTTGGGTTATACTATTAAGAATGAATTGGAGAAGGGGAGGGAATGCTTAGATAGATAGAGATAAATATTGATTTGAGTGAAGAGAAAGGCAATGTACCAAATGTGAGTGACCAATATGGCAGCATTGAGGATGAGAAAGACAGAGAGAGTTACATGGGCAGTACAAACAACAAATATGAACCCCTTTGCATATACAATACTGAGTTGTCAGTGAAAGCAAACATGGGTATAGGGATGGATAGATGGGTGAACAAGCTAAATAATTAGGTAAGTCTAAATGGAGAGTGTACCCAAGATCATATACAGGGTTGGCAGACAATGGGCCTATAAGTTCATGTGAATGATCAGAATTCCCAGGTGTATAGTAGAGCTGACAAGGGGCAAGGTTATGGTCATTACTTGGTCACAGCCAGCTACCCAGAGGGACCGAGTAGTTGATCCTGCGGGCTTGGGACCATAGTCGCAGGGGACATCAAACTCAATTGGCATAACATACTATACAAAACATTGTTCCACCTACTACTTTGGCGAGTAGCGACTGGGACCTTAAAAGCTAGGAAGCTGCCATCTAGATGCAACAACGGGTCTCTCCTCGTCAAGAAAAAAGAAGAAAACCAAAATTAATGGAAACAATCAGTCCTAGTGACTGGTACACCAACCGATCTGCAACCTATACAACTATGAGACCAGAAGAACTAGATGGTGCCCAGCTACCACTGCCATCCACTTGGAAGGGATGTAGGAGATCCTGCATAAAGAGGGAGAACAATGTGGTACAAAACTCAAAATCATTTGGAGGCAAAAAAAAAAAAAGAAGGTGGGGACCAGGTTTGCTGGTCCAATGGAGCCTGGTGTAACCACTGAGACTATGGCCCCTAGCTGCCCTTCAGGTCTGGAATTGAACCCACAACTGTGGTTTCCAGCCAAACAAAGTACAGGCATGTGAGTTAAACATTTACCTCAAGTAGACACACGCCCTGGAGAGAACAATCATGGGAGAAGGAAGGGCTGCTTATGCACAGGGAGATAGCTCAGGGTGCAGAAGAGTATGAAGGGATGGACACTGGGAGGAGGTAACTATGAGGAGGAAGTGGGAGGGGAGCTGCTGCATTGTAAATTTTGGTCAATGACATGAGACAAAGTATATGTGAACTGCTGTATGAAAAGTGAATTTACTCTGTAAATCTTCACCCAAATCCTAATAAAAAAAAAATAATAATAATAAAAGAAAAAAGAATGAATTGGAATGGAACAAGAGTAGAGAGGCAAGAAACCAGTTAGGAGACCATTGCTGTTGTCCAGGTAAGAGTTCAGGTGATTCTGACCATAATCATAGGAGTAAGAATGGAGAGAAGCAGATGGATTTTAAGAGGTAGGAAGTTACCCTGACTGGTCTTAGAAAAAAGGGGTAGAAGGTGAGAAAGAGGGAGTCAAAGAATAACCCCAAGATTTCTGGCTTGGACAACTGGATAGCATATACTGGGACAGTGAACCACAATGATTAGAATTAGAGAAAAATGGTATGCTCAATTTTGGATATGCTGGGTTTTTGAAGTACGTGAGAGACACCCAGGTGAGTATTGTATATTTCCCAGTAATGTTCTCTTGTTGTTGTTGTTGTTTGCCGTCGAGTCGGCCCCGACTCATAGCGACCCCTCCTTGGGTTTCTGAGGCAGATTACTTTTTGTAATTTTGTTTTGTACTATTGGCTTTGTATTTGGAATTTATGTAACTATATAATTCAGAAAGCCTAAATTTTATAGATAATCATTTTTTCCCATCTAATGTAACAATCAATTTTCTAGCAAGGATTCAATTGCGGAACAACAGAACCCTTGAGTTAAATTTAAATGCTGGTTTTCTTTCCACCTATCTCTAGAGCCAGTGAAATTATGATGAAGGCCGCTGTTAATGGAAGTCTTATTTCCATTGTGCTCTTAAGCACTTAAGAGACAAAATCAGGTTATTTCTAACTCTTTTGCCTACTATTGATTTTGGTAACTAGTCTTTCCTCATTTTCCTCTAACTTTGCTGACCATTTCTTCTCAAGCTCCTTCATTAAATATTACTAGTACAATAAGATCATATACATCTGCTATATGTCCCTCTGTGCATATTAACAGCCTATAAATGAAATATTCTATTCAACCAAACATGACAGTAGAAGCATATACTCACACATAACCATCAGCATAGTGAACTCAATGAGCTGGGTTTTTTTTTGGTTTTGCTTTACATGTAACCAAAAACATAAAATTTAGAATTTCAGTATGATCTTTAATTTTATGTAAATTTTACTCCTTGACTTATATCTTGTATTTTAAATTCATTTTCTATACTAGAAAAACTACTGTAACTACTTGGGAAAGGTATTTGGCAACATATAGCAGGAGCCTTAAAGAACTCCAACTGTATGGCTCTTGTTAAAATTAAAATCACATGTAAGTGAAGACAGTACAAAACAGGTACTCAAATATTTACTGAGTGACATATAGTGTTATAGGATACACTGGAAAGAACTCTAAACAAGAAAACAAATTACATTTATATTTATTAATTTCTTACCCCACCTAAGCTGACTAATATTAATAATGGCTAAAGTCTGAACTTACTATGTGCTACAGATTGTGGTACTTTTTTTTTTTCTGGTTTCTTTATATACATTATTTCATTCAGTGATCCCAACAATATTGAGGAAGATACTAACATTATCCCCATTTTACAGATAAGTAAGGCATTAAATTTCTTGCCAAACATCATAGTAATTGGCACATCCTATATCAGGTTCTAAAACATGGTTACATCTTATGTACCCGACAGCTAATGAATCTCACATCTTGTCTCTATCTACTATCACTAGCAAAACAAATTCTTGAATGAGTTCCACAGCTTAGAACACAGTTAATACACATAGCTATTAAATTAGTAGGTAAAACATCTTTAGAGATCATCTAGTCAAACTGCTTAATTTTTCACACAGGAAATAAGGCCTAGAAAGGCAAAGTAACTCACACACACTCAATGACAAATTTGGGTTTTGAACCACATTGCCTAATTAAAAATCCTTTATACTACATATATCACTGAATCAGGTAGGTCAAAACAAGTACCTACATATTTTAAAAGTAAAAAAGATAAAAGGAAAAAGTAATTCAACAAAGAAATTTAAGAAAATCACAAGTCTCTTAAAGGAAATCGAAGAAAACTTACCAAAATTTTTTTCTTGACTCTTCATTGTTAGAATATCTGCAACTGCATGTCGCATCTCTTCAATAGGCTTAATTTTTTTAATGAAGAAAGCAAACTCATAATCTTTATATTCTCAGTCATTAACTAGGTTGTTCAAGTTAAAAATATTGAAACTATAGTAATTAAGATTTCATTACTTTAAAATAAGGCAGTGGTCTTTTAAACCAATGTCTAAGAACAACTGATTTTCTCACAAAAATGGAAAAATGGCTGTCTTTTCCTATTTATAGTCTACAAAATGAATTTAAAGGACAGAGTTCATCAAGTTAAAAAACATTTCCTCCTTAATTTTTCTTAAGCCTTTGGTAACTTGCTTACCTGATGAGAACAAAATTAAGGAACAAGTAGCAAACAAACACTATTACTACTTACTAGAGCAGTAAAAGAGCTCCTACATGTAAATCTAACTCCATGGTTATATCTTTGCTTCACATGTTTTTAAATACATCCCTGAAAAGCTTAAGATTGACCACTCCAATATTTATTCCTTCCAATATTTACCAAGTGTCCAATATATGCCACATATAAACATTTACTATGTGCCTTTGAGCCACCATGCCAGTTAATACAACATATACATATAATACAAGATATTATAAAAAGGGCAGTTATAGTTCCTGAACTTCTCACTCATCCTGCTTTCAATGTCCTTAGCTAATTTTGATCCTTGTTTTCCCATTTCTGCTCTGGTGTCACATTTTTCTTTTTATACTCCTGCTTCTTAAGTGTAGCCTTCACACCAATTAGGCATTTGAGCTATACAGCCATACACGGCCTTAAGTAATGTCCTTTCTGGTCCAGTGTAATAGGATCTGATACTCCATTAGGTAGAATTTCTGTTAAATATAATTACCCTTCTACAAAGTATTTTATACCTAATAGCCATTGAGAGAATATGCTGACTATCTAAGTTTTGACTCAAACAGCATTTCTTGACTTTGCTGAGACCACAATGAATAGATTTTTCTTATGGAAAGGCCAAAAAAAAAAAATCTCTATAAAGTTTAGAGACACAACACATTTGAGAAACTTAGTCAAAAGGAAATATAAACTTATTTCTAAACTTGGCTCTAAACTAAACCATTTGTCCATAAAAACAAAAACCACCTCTGAATATGATTGGTTCTATACAAAGGGTTTTTATACCAACAAAGTAAGAAAAAGGGAGAGATTATGATATCAAATCACTATGAATATAATAACGTGAGAGAAACCAGTTTACTGCCATCTTCTTTATGTGGGTAGGAAGGAACATACTGTCCATACAGTTGAGTGCAGGGCTCAATAGTACTCCTAAAGTGAAGGAAAGTTCTCCCACAAAACCATTAGAATGCAACAATATTTTAAAAGTTAATTTAACTCTGCTTTATATTCAGTAATTTTAATATTAAAATTGAGTTTCCCAAATTTCCCAACTAGAAAACACACAAAATGACACAATGCCCTGAAACATTTCTCAGAGCAAGTTTTATTAAATTTACATTTCAGCTTATATCCATTTTCTAAGGTTTAACTATCTCTAGAACACAGCAAGGGAGCTTTGGTAGCATAGTGCCTAAAGCACTTGACTGCTAACCAGAAGGCTGGCGGTTCAAACCCACCAGCCAACTCCTCGGAAGGAAGATAGGGCAATCTACTTCCATAGTGCTATTGCCTCGGAAACCCAAGGAGGGGTTGCTATGAGTCGTGTCTGACTCGACAGCACATAACAACAACAGAACACAGCAAAGGAGCTCTAGTGGTGTAGTGGTAAAAGCACTCAGCTACTAACCAAAAGTAGTTAGCACCAAGTGGTTTGAATACACTAGCTGCATTGCAGGAAAAAGATGAGGCAGTCTCTTTCTGTAAAGATTTACAGCCCTACGGACAGTTCTACTTTGCCCTAGAGGGTCACTATGAGTCAGATTCAACTTGATGGCAGTGAATTTTAGTATATAGGAAAAGTTTTAGAAGGCTAAGAAATAGCTTTCCATTATACTACATATATAACCACAGTTTTACCAAGTTGCATTGTGATGTGTTCCAAAACAACTCTGAACTATTTATCTTGTATTAAAGATGAGAAAGTTTTAATCTCACCTGAGCCCCTGCCAAGATGGCCTTCTCATAGATGGCAATAATATTTTCAATAGGACTTGTGATTGGTTCAAGACGTGCAAGGCAGATCCAGTACTTAACGAGTTTTGTGGCATCTGGAATATTTTTAATCAGATCATTCAGTGTGACCAATATTTCTTCTTTTGGGCATCCCTAAAAGAGTGAGAAATAAAGTGTGTGATATTTTTAGCCTATAAATTATAACATTCTATAATCAAGATCAATGATATAGAAAAATTTGCTATAAAAGCATTCGTTATTATCATCATCCTTACTCCAAACTTAATTTGAATGGCTAGCAAGAAACATTACTCATGAGCAGAAAACAAAATACTAGTTTAAGAGATGTGTTAGTAAAAAATGACTAACACTTTACTTGGCCTTAATGTTTATCCTTATATGATGAGATTTTATTTAGAATTTTTGCAACTAACATAACTTTGGGAGCTCTGGTGGTGTAGTGCCAAAGGCTCATGGTTCAAACCCACCAGAGCCACTCCTCAGAAGCAAGCCTGGGCAATCTACTTCCATAGAGATACTGCCTTGGAAACCCAAGGAAGGGTCGATATGAGTTGAATCAACTTGATGGGAGTGAGATTGGTTATTATTATTTTTTTTAACCATAACTTTTAGTATGTAGGATTTTTTTTAAAATTTTCTTTGTAAACTGTTGACATTAAAGTTAAAATGAATCTGAAATGGTTTACATGTAATAATAGATATTATATATACCTTAAAAGTTATGGTTGTTAGGTGCTATCAGTTAATTTCGATGCAGAGAGACCCCATGTGACAGACAATTGCATAGGGTTTTCTTGGCTATAATCTTTTACAAAAGCAGATTACCAAGTCTGTCTCCTGTGGAGCCACTGGGTAGGTTCAAACCATCAACCTTTCCATTAGCAGCTGAGTGCTTAACCCTTGCACCACCAGGGCTCCTTACTTAAAAAGTAGAACATATAAGTCTCTTTAACAAATGGTGCTGGCAAAACTAGATATCCATTTGCAGAAAAATGAAACAAGATCCGTACCTCACATCATACACAAAAACTAACTCCAGATGGATCAAAGATTAAACATGAAACCTAAAACTATAAAGTTCAAGGAAAAACTAGGGGCAGTTCAGGGGACCTCATTTATGGCATAAATAGACTGTCAAGTATTACCCAAAATACACAAACACCAGAAGATAAGCTAGATGAATGAGACCTTCTAAAAATTAAATTTTTATGTGCTTCAAAAGACTTCTCCAAAAGAGAACTTACCGATCAGGAAAAAAAATTCAACAATGACATATCTGACAAGGGACTTATCTCTAAAATTATCTCTTAAAAATTATCTCTATATAAGGAATTGGAAAACTCCAACTCCTCAACAACAAAAAGACAAATAATCTCATTAAAAAATGGGCAGAAGACATGAATAGATAGACACTTCACAAAAGAGGGTATTGAGGCACCAACAAACACATGAAGAAATGTTCATGATCATTAGCCGTTGTTGTTAGGTGCCATCAAGTCGTTTCCAACTCATAGCGACCCCATGCACAGCAGAACGAAACACTGCCCGATCCCGAGCCAGCCCCACAATCCCTGCTATACTTGAGCCCATCATTGCAGCCACCGTATCAATCCATCTCATTGAAGGCCTCCCGCTCTTTCGTCGACCCTCTACCCTACCAAGCATGACATCTTTCTCCAAGGAATGATCCCTTTTGACAACATAACCAAAATAGGTGAGACGAAGTCTGGCCATTCTTACTTCCAAGGAGCATTTCGGGTGCACTTCTTCCAGGACAGATCTGTTAGTTCTTTTAGCAGTCCATGGTACTTTCAGCATTCTTCGCCAGCACCACAATT